ACAGGAAAATGATCGCTGAAAAATGATTCACCAACAATACGTAACTGTCAAACTGAGGAATTGATGATGCATTCATGTTGGTTGGGGTACAAGTAGCTAACCCTAACTTTTGTACTCCCTAAGACAAACCTCACTATAGGCTACCACATTTGACACTGTCAAACATTATATATGTTGCGTTTGTTAGGCTACAGTGGGTTAGCCTATATGGGGTACACAATTCTAGGGTTTGCTATTTGTACTGATTTCTCTGTTAGTTCAATCATTCCAGTCCGTTCATTCTGACATGGTTTCAGAGCAGGTCCTTCGCTAGGACCGTTCTTAGGGCCCACCGCTACCTACCTACCTACCTACCTACCTGCGCCTTAGAGCGCCTCGGTTCTTACGGCCCCTTAAGGCCTCGCGCCCTCGTGCGCCTTTCCCCACCGCGCGCGCGCGACCCGCTAGCTACCCGCGCGCGGGTCTTTTTTTTTAGCGCGCGCGGCTCTGTTTCTTGCGCGCGTGGCCCGCTAGTCGCCCGCACGCGGCCCGTCAGCCCTTCGCGCGGCCCCTGCTGCTCGCGCGTGCCCCGCCGTGGCCCCGCAGGCCCGCAGCTCGCTGCCGCAGCTGCCGCCCGCCCGTCACCCGCAGCCGCCCGTACGCCACTGCCGCTGCCGCTGTCGTACGCTGCTGCCGCTGCTGCTTGCGCACCGCCCACTGTCGCTGCCGCTGCTGTGCCGCCGCCACTGCCGCCAGTGCGCCGCTGCCGCTGCTGCACGTGCGTTACTGCCGCTGCCGCCGCCGCTGCAGCTCCCGCCCGTGCGCTCGCTACCGCTACTCCCGCCGCCCGCTGCAGCTGCCGCCCGTGCGCTACCGCCGCTGCCGCCCGTGTGCTGCTACTGCGGCCGCCATTACCGCGCTCACTGCCGCTACTGCCCGTGCGCCAAAGCCGCTGCCGCCCGTGCGCCATTGCTGCTGCCGCCCGTGCGCCACTGCTGCTGCCGCCCGTACGCTACCACTCGTTTGCCGCTGCTGCCGGCCCCGTTGACACTGCCCACAGTTTTCCAGCGGCCTGATTCCTACTGCTACTGTCACTATGGCTAGTCCGCCAGTTCTAGCTTTCGATGCCGAGGGCCGTCCAGTGAAGTTCGAAACCTGGCTCGATGACCTGCACCTGTTCCTACAGCTCACAGCCAAGGAAGATATCTCACTGTACGACCACGCCCTAGGCCATGCCACTGCCCCTGACTCGACTGCTGACAGCACTCTGCGTTCCCAGTGGCAGACCCGTGATGCGCACACTCGCTTTGCTATTCGCAACTCCCTGCCGCTAGACGAGCGCGAGCACTTCGGCCAGTGCAAGACTGCTAAGGACCTCTACACCGCTGTAGTTGCCCGCTACTCCTCACCCGCTTCTGCTACGCTAGGCCGCCTCACTCTCCCCTACCTGTTCCCCGACCTAGCCTCCTTTCACACTGTCGCAGACCTCATCACCCACCTTAAGACTAGTGAGGCCCGCTTTCGCGCTGCTATGCCTGCCGAGTTTCTCACTAGCAACCCCCCCCCCGCTCTGGATCACTCTCTACCACATCGTCACCCGCCTCCCTGACTCTCTGCGTGCAGTCAGGGACCACTTCCTCTCTCGCTCCCCCACTGAGCTCACTGTTGCCCTCCTCGAGAAGGAACTGCTTGCAGCCGAGGCGAGCATCGTCGCTGTAGGCACCTCTCGTGGCGACCCCCGCACCCCGTTCTTCGAGGGGTGTTCCCCTTCCCCCCTCCTCCCCTCTGTCGCCTCTGCTGCTGCTGTCGACCTCCTTGGTGCTGAGAAGGTCGGGACCGCGTCTGCTTCGAGCGGGCGCCGCAGGAGCAAGGGAGGCAGGGGTGGGGGTGGTGGCGGAGGAGGTGGGGGTGGAGGCGGTGGGAGTGGAGGCGCGACTGGGGAGGCTAGTGGCGGCAGTGGGGGAGGAGACAGCAGCGGCGGGAGCGGTGGCAGGGGTGGAGGCGGCAGCGGAGGTGGAGGTGGTCGTGGCGGCGGCAGGGGTGGAGGTGGCCGAGGCGGTGGTGGTGGCGGTGGTGGTCGTGGAGGCACTGGCGGAGGCCCGAGTCAGCAGCCCGCCCCGACGCTTCAGGCCGCCCGTGAGTGGTATGCGCAGCGTGGCTTTACCTGCACGTACGTCATTCGCACAGGTGACCGCAGCGGCCAGCAGTGTGGGAGGCCGCACCCCACGCACCGCTGCTTCGCGCGCCTTAACGACGCGTGGCGCACCCAGTTTCCTGATGCCGCTGAGCTGCCGCGCTGGGCTGATCCGGAAATGAGGGGTGTCGATATTTGGGCTCTAGACTTTGATGCTATTCTCACTGCCATGTATGCGATGTCTATTAGTGGAGAGGGTGCTCAGTACTTGCGTGTTCCGCCCGACCCGGGCATTCAGGCCAGTCCGGCTGCCGCTCTAGGTGCTAGTGCGTCTGCTCCCACAGGTCCTGGTGAGGCCGCTGCCCTAGGTGCTCGTGCGTCCGTGCCCCCTGGTACTGAGTCGACTGCAGCACTGCACACCTTCACACTGGACTCAGGTGCTTCTCGCTCCTTCTTTCGTGACCGCACTGTCCTTGAGCCACTCGCTCGGCCAGTTGCTGTCTCCCTTGCTGACCCCTCTGGGGGTCCGGTCATTGCGACCTCCTCCACTGTCCTTCCTTGTCCGGCGGTCCCGTCCGGCACGCTGTCAGGTCTCTACCTCCCCTCGTTCTCTACGAACTTGGTGGCAGGTAGTGCGCTCCAGGACGGGGGTGTTCACCAGTTCACCCCTGCCTACGAGCGCGTGACACATTGCACGTGTGCTCGGACGGGTCGCCACCTGGCTACCTTCACTCGGGAGCCGGGGTCGGACCTTTACACACTGACCACTGTGTCCCCTCAGGTAGCTGCGTCTGCGTCTGCGTCTGCGTCTGCGTCAGGTCAGCTGTCCGCCCCCTGCTCGTGTCGCTCTCTGGCGCATGAGACGGTCCTTTGGCACCATCGCCTTGGTCACCCGTCTGTGCAGCGCCTTCGGGCCATGCACAAGCGGGACCTTGTTGCTGGTCTTCCCAGGGTGCTCCCTCCCCTTCCCGTCTCGCCTGCTCCTCCCTGTATTCCCTGTGTCGAGGGACGGCAGCGCGCCGCTCCTCACTCCTCCTCCTTTCCCCCGACGACTGCTCCCTTGCAGACGCTCCACATGGACGTGTGGGGCCCAGCCCGCGTCCGTGGTCAGGGTCAGGAGAGGTACTTCCTGATTGTTGTTGACGACTTCTCGCGCTACACCACGGTCTTCCCCTTGCGCGCCAAGGGTGACGTCCCTGATGTCTTGATCCCTTGGATCCGCAGATCTCGTCTCCAGCTCCGTGAGCGTTTCCGCTCCGACTTCCCTGTCCTGCGTCTGCACTCTGACAGAGGTGGGGAGTTCTCCTCTGGCCTATTGGAGGCCTTCTGTCAGCAGGAGGGCATTGAGCAGTCGTACACGCTTCCGGACTCTCCACAGCAGAATGGGGTTGCTGAGCGCCGCATTGGTCTGGTCATGGAGGTCGCCCGTACCTCCTTGAGCCATGCGGCTGCCCCCCATTTTCTGTGGCCGTTTGCAGTCCGATACGCTGCGCATCAGCTCAACCTCTGGCCCCGTGTCTCCTTGCCCGAGACTTCTCCGACACTGCGTTGGACAGGAGAGGCTGGCGATGCGTCGCGTTTTCGGGTCTGGGGATCCCGAGCTTTTGTCCGCGACACGTCCGCGGACAAGCTCTCTCGTCGCGCTGTCCCCTGCGTCTTCCTTGGCTTTGTCCCGGACGCCCCTGGTTGGCAGTTCTACCACCCCACCTCGCGGCGTGTCCTGGCCTCTCAGGACGTCACTTTTGACGAGTCCGTCCCCTACTACCGCCTCTTCCCCTACCGCACTGCCCCGCTCCCCCCCCCGCCTCTCTTCCTCGCTCCAGGTGCTGAGGTACCAGACCCCCTCCCCCCTCAGGGTGCCGCTCCCTCAGGTGTGTCCCAGGTAGACCCGGGTGAGCCTGTCGAGGTAGCTGTTGACTCTCGTCCTGCTCGGGGTGCTGAGCCTGGGGGTGCTGCGTCTGGGGGTGCTGAGCCTGGGAGTGCTGAGTCTGGGGGTGCGTTGCCTGGGGGTGCTGAGCCAGGAGGTGCGGAGCCTGGAGGTGTGGAGCCTGGAGGTGCTGAGCCTGGGGGTGCTGCGTCTGGGGGTGCTGCGTCTGGGGGTGCTGAGCCTGAGCGTGCTACACCTGGAGGAGCCCTCTCCTCCCAGCAGCTGCAGGAGAGGTACCTCGAGTACTGCCGCCTCCGGAGAGGTGCTGCTGGAGCTCGTCCCGGTACTTCCCCTCCTACCCAGGAGCTCCCCCCCATTCAGCAGATCCGCGAGTGGTACACACGGCGCTGCAGTCTTCGGAGTGGTGCTCCTGGTGCTGCGGACCCTGGGGGTGGCGCTGCAGCTGGTGCTGAGGACCCGGACGTTGGAGCTGCTGCTGGACCTGAGGACCCGAGCGGTGGCGCTGCTGCTGCTGCTGAGGACCCGGGCGTTGGAGCTACTACTGGTGCTGAGGACCCGGCTGGTGGAGCTGCTGCTGGTGCTGTTGACCCGGCCGCTGGAGTCTCCTCTGCTTCTGGAGACGCTGCGCGGCCGCGACCGTACTTCGTACCTCTCCTTCAGCAGGTTCTTGGGCAGGCTCCTCCTCCTTGTCCTCCTCCCTCCGTAGAGTGTCCTCTGCCTGTCCAGTCGCAGTCACAGTTACCGCCTACCTCGCCTCTCCCTGCTCCCTCTCCTTACACTGGTCCCACAGGAGGTCTTACAGAGCGTCGTGAGCCTGAGTCTCGTCCTGCGTCGCCTGTTCGTCCTGCTCGCACTGGTAGTCGTGTCCGTCGTGAGCGTCCTCCTCCTGTCCCAGGCACTCACTACATGACTCTGCGTCCCTCTACTGCTCCTCAGCGTGTCCCTCTACCGTCTCCAGATCTACCTGAGGGCAGGGTGAGTCTGGAGTGGAGCAAGCGCATGAGGAGGCCTCCCCGCCCGTCATCTACTGCGATTTCAAGTCCTCCAACATCCTCCCCGCCGCTCCTGCCTCCCTCATCCCCCTCCCATTCAACCTACCTTCCTTTCCCCTGTGTTTGCTGCACCCGCTTCCTGCCCCCGCTTCCCCCCAGACCTACCCGAGGGCAGGGCGAGTCTGGAGTGGAGCAAGCGCATGAGAGTAGCAGCAGGGGCAGCCAAGGGCCTCGAGTACCTGCACGAAGAGGCCTCCCCGCCCGTCATCTACCGCGATGCCATACTAGCTTCTACAGGATACCTATATACAGTATTATCCCAATTGTCGACAACATGTCGCAACAGCTCGCGTTTTACATCTGTATATCTGTCTTGCGTATCATATAATGACATTGATAGACTTCGAAATAAGCAATTACCATCTCCGATGATAGGTTTCAACGTTAAAGAATATTGCTTGCGAAACTCACCATCGGTCCTCTCGCCTGTAAAGATCAGGGCCGTGCTCGAAGATGATGCCATCACAATTTTCCTTTCGACTCCCTTCACCGCAACGAACAGTCGAGCTGCTAAAAGGGAAAAAAAAAAGGCAGACACACACACAATGGACACCGGTATAAAAGCATTTTCACGTGAATGTCGTCAACTCAGATGTATGGCTACGACAATGGGGGAAAACGACCAAGCAAAAGTGACGATAAGGGGAACGGCAAAGAGTAGGTGAATTATCAGGATATGAATAAGATGCTTAGGGAATCGATCATGTTTCCGTTTCTATAACACAACTAAATTTGCCCCAAAACATTTATGGTGCTATGGAAGGTGAAACTATGCGTGTGAGTGTGTTGGCTCGTACCAGAAACATGTGGCAAAGTGTACAAAGAGGTGGAAAGATACGAGAAAACGTCCTGGGGAGTATACGCAATGAAATTGTGTTCATATCCCATTCTTCATTTTTGTTTCGTTGGAAACACATTTCCTACAAAGTTTTCAAAATCAATCATGGCTTATACGGTAGTGAAGGATGTGAGCGTGAGGAGAAGTGGAAGAAGGAAGCCCGACAAGGTTGCCAGTAACTTTCCTGATGTAGAGTGGCAAGGACAATGGGGGAAAACGACCAAGCAAAAGTGACGATAAGGGGAACAACAAAGAGTGGGTGAATTATCAGGATATGAATAGGATGCATGGGCAATCGATCATATTTCCTTTTCTATAACTCAACTAAATTTGCCCCAAAACATTTTTGGTGCTATGGAAGGTGAAACTATGCGTGTGAATGTGTTGGCTCGTACCAAAAACATGTGGCAAAGTGTATGAAGAGGTGGAAAGGTACGAGAAAACGTCCAGGAGAGTATACGCAATGAAATTGTATTCATATCCCGTTCTTCATTTCTGTTTCGTTAGAAACACATTTCCTAGAAAGTTTTCAAAATAAATAGTGGCTTACACGGTAGTGAAGGATGTGAGCGTGAGAAGAAGTGGAAGAAGGAAGCCCGACAAGGTTGTCAGGAACTTTCCTGATGTAGAGTAACAAGGACGATTGGGGAAAACGACCAAGCAAAAGTGACGATAAGGGGAACGACAAAGAGTGGGTGAATTATCAGGATATGAATAGGATGCATGGGCAATCAATCATATTTCCGTTTCTATAACGCAACTAAATTTGCCCAAAAACTTTTATGGTGCTATGGAACGCGAAACTATGCGTGTGAGTATGTTGGCTCGTACCAGAAACATGTGGCAAAGTGTACGAAGAAGTGGAAAGATACAAGAAAACGTCCAGGAGAGTATACGCAACCTTAGTTTCTCGGCGCTCTTTTCGTTTTCAATCAACTGCTTAACCCTGGCGATTAGAGGCTTCAATGTCAAATATATATATATTCTTTCCATCAATCGCTAATTGTTTCCGCTGGCCATTTTGTCAGAATCCCAGCCACTAACCACTGGGATAAAAGGGCTTGTTTGTGTAGCGGGTGAGTGCGCCCATAACCCCCCAGGCCAACGTGCCTGTAACCCTTCCCTAGGATCATCGGGGATCACCAGTGGACCTCTGACACCCCCCCGCACTGGGATGCCCGAGGTGCACACACCGGGATTCGAACCCGAGACCTTCGCTCTGATACCATGTCAGAATCCCAGCCACTAACCACTGGGATAAAAGGGCTTGTTTGTGTAGCGGGTGAGTGCGCCCATAACCCCCCAGGCCAACGTGCCTGTAACCCTTCCCTAGGATCATCGGGGATCACCAGTGGACCTCTGACACATTTGTGTTTCTTTGCAGACTTCGCCTTCCGTCGTACCAGGCGCTCATGTTTGGATGTCCATCGTGTGCCTACGAGGTTGGCAACTTTCCAGTAATTCGCATGTTTTACTTCGCGTCAATACCATACGGCGGCCAGCCGTTTTGCTCTGTCTGCGCTCCTTATGTCATTGTTTGTGCCACTTATTGCCTTAATGCGCTGCTTTGTGAAAGCTGATTTTTCTTTCCCGAATTGCTATTTCGTATAGGCTACTTTCCGTGGCGAGCCTCCTACTGTGTCAAGGCAATTCTTGGTAAGTCGTTTCTTGCTAATTTTGTTCTGTGTTTGTTTCTGCTTTTCTTCCTTAGTGCGCAGCCGTCACGACGAGCTCTAACTTTGTTTCCCCGTTTCCAATGGCTTCCAGGTACCACACGTCATAATCCAGATCTGCAACTTTGTCAGCCGTGGTACTAGTGCTTTGCTGTATCTTGGGACATGTTTTTTCGGATGTTCACAGGAATCTGCAAAATAGTGAATTGCTTCATTGTACTTTTGTTTATGTATAGCCTTGGGAGAATGCCACGCTCCACTGGTATAATGTGCTTGCAAATATAATATACAGGCAATTAACAGCCCAACCCCCAAAGTGAAGGTTCTCGCTTGCTATTTCCGTATTGTTATCATTTATATGGGGTTATATTGAATGAGTTGTTTGTACGCGGAGTATATAGGCATCAAATAAAATATTGCACTGTAGGAAACATTGTGGCTAAAAGCGATGAATTTTACAGCGAAGACGCGGCTCGCATTTGACTTGGGTCAACGAGAAGCGGGAACGCCCGCGATTGGGCCCCAAATTTTCGGGGGGTGACTCGTGGGTAACATGTGGGTCAGCGCTGTGGGTCACCTCAGTGTGACAACGAACTGAACTTCGGAGTGCGGTAACTTCGGGGTATCACTGTTGGCGACACTGGGGTATCACTAATCGAGGTAACCCTGATGTGACCTTGGGGTAGAATTTTGCAGGGGACTTTTTTGGGATGAACTGCGCCAGCGCCCACTGCGCCAGCACCCAAAGGCGCCAGTGCCCAAAGGCGCCAGCGCAAAGGCGCCAGCGCCGAAACGCGCCAGCGCCCAAAAGGCGCCATTGCAAAACGCCAGCGCCCAAGGCGCCAGCGCCCAACGCGCCATATGGCGAAAATCCGCAAGAGCTTTGGCGCCAGCAACCAATGCGCCAGCGCAGCCCAATGCACCAGCATCTAGGAAACATGGTGTTTCTTACCAAAATGATTGTCACTATAAATTCTTTGAAGACTCTGAGTACTGCTTGTGGTATTCGTCACTCAGTAGTTGGAAGAACACAATCTGTCAAGAATTGCCAAGGATGTTTGTGAAGAGCTTGTCAAGAATTGCTCTATGCTAGTACTAGCTTGTGAGGAATTGGTGAATCTGAGTAGTAGCTGTGCGAAGTAGCGATAGATGGGAGGGATGGATGAGGAGGAAGGATTCGAAGGGGGAGGGGGCATTCGAAGAGAGGATGCGCTTTGGAGAATTTTTGTTCAAATTTGAGGTGAGTTCAAAGTTGCTCTACGTGTCAAATTCGAAAAGAAACTCAAGGGCAAAAGGTGGCAACTTTTAACTTTTGTTTCTTCTAAGAGGCTTGGGCAGGTTTGAGTAACTTTTGGGCTCTATAACCAAAATCAACTCTGCCACAATTTGGCTCACGTGAAATCCACGTCAAAATTACAGAATTGACACAATTCTGCTTGTGGATGAATCATCTTTCAGACAACTCATCATTTCTAAGACAACTCATACAAAATGGAGAGACTCGTGTGGTCCTGAATATAGTGCATCTAAATAGTTTAGCTTAAGGTTGTTCCAATATGACCATATTAAAATCAAGATTGCTAAAAGGTTGTATCTAACATATTATCGCTTGAAATCCAATATATAAATAGCAAATTAAAAATAAAAAGCATAATATACAACTCAACATAAATTGGTAATTGTATTTCTTATATATCAAGTGCAATTTATAATATCCATTTTCAAATAAACATCATTAATCTCACACGCAAGCAACATCTACAGTATCTATTTTACCCTCCAAACATGTGGCACGTTAAATGCACGTTTATTCATTCACCCATTCCAAAGTATCAATCACCTACATATGCATTTGTGATCATATTATACTTTTGTTGTATCTATGATATATTAGTATTTATAGATTGAAAATGTATACCTACGCAACCCATACGACGTTAAACGTCGAGTCTTGTTAAAGTTTTAAAGATCCAGGCCATTTCATCATGTCCAAGATCGAACTCACTACTTGGGAAAATACACGGAGGGAGGAGGGAGGAGGGGTTTCAGACCTTCGCGCCTACCCCGAAGATGACCACTCTTCGGGTGTTACTGCACGTAGCAGCACAGAGAGACTACGAGCTACACTCTCTTGACTTCTCCACTGCCTTCCTTCAGGGTAGCCTACACGAGGAGGTCTGGTTGCGTCGTCCTTCTGCCTTCACTGACACGTTCCCTCCAGGGACCCAGTGAAGGCTCAGGCGACCGGTCTACGGTCTCCGTCAGGTACCTTGTGAGTGGTACGACACTTTTCGCGCTACCATGTCTAACCTCGGTTTCCAGCCGTCTTCTGCTGACCCGTCGCTGTTCGTTCGTCATGGCTCCACACCGTTCTTTGTACTGGTCTACGTCGACGACCTGGTTTTTGCCACTGCTTACAGGGTTTCTTTGGCTGAGATAAAGACCGAACTGCAGAAGAGACACACGTGCACTGACCTTGGTGAGCTGCGCCACTACCTATGCTTGCAGATCATAAGGGACAGAGTCGCTCACACCATTACACTCTCACAGTCACACATGGTGCAGCAGGTCCTTCAGCGGTTCGGGCTTCAGCACTCCACCACACAGCCCACTCCTCTTTCCGTAGACCACTGACTTACCGACCCTTTTTCTTACGAGCCCTTCGAGCCTAGTGGTCCTTACGCAGAGCTTGTGGGCTACCTCATGTACCTGATGACTTGTACTCGCCCGGACCTCGCCTTCCCTCTCAGCATCCTTGCTCGCTTTGCTGCGCCAGGGAGTCACCGTCCCATTCACTGGACAGCTGTTGTGAGGGTGGCGAAGTACCTAGCGACGACATCTAGCGTGGGTTAGTTCTTGGTCACTGTGACTCTTCTTACGCTGACGACGCCGAGACTCACAGGTCTACTCAGGGGTACTGCTTCAGCCTGGGCTCTGGAGCTGTTTCGTGGAGGTCCACGCTTTCCTCCTCGGTATCCACCTCTACCGCTGAGGCTGAGATCTACGCTGGAGCCATGCCGGTTAGAATGTCTAGGCAAGAATGATTGCATTGAAAGAAGGTTGGGTACAAGTAGCAAACCCTAGAGGGGTTGTACCCCATATTGGCTACCCCACTACAGCCTACACAAGTATAACATATATAGTTTGACA